CAACCACACAACATGTGAGAGAATTCTATGGGATAAGATAACTGTCAGAATTATTGTATGTGTAAGAGTCTAAATTTGTACAATGTAAGTCTATACATGAATTTGTTACAACTTTGCCACATTACAAGTACTAATCAAATTTACAAGTACGAATCAAATTTACAAGTACAAATCAAATTTACATGTACAAATCAAATTTACAAGTACAAATCAAATTTACACGTACGAATCAAATTTACAAGTACAAATCAAATTTACAAGTACAAATCAAATTTACAAGAACAAATCAAATTTACACGTACAAATCAAATTTACAAGTACAAATCAAATTTACAAGTACGAATCAAATTTACAAGTACGAATCAAATGTACAAGTATGAATCAAATTTACAAGTACGAATCAAATGTACAAGTATGAATCAAATTTACAAGTATGAATCAAATTTACAAGTACAAATCAAATTTACAAGTATGAATCAAATTTACAAGTACGAATCAAATTTACAAGTACGAATCAAATTTACAAGTATGAATCAAATTTACAAGTATGAATCAAATTTACAAGTACGCATCAAATTTACAAGTACGAATCAAATTTACAAGTATGAATCAAATTTACAAGTACAATTCTTTTACCTGTCAAAATAACAGACATTATGCATGGAAAAGATCGATTGCAAACAGTAACTAAGCCAGACCACTAGGAGGACATGACCACTGCCTCATTTGGGACCAGACAAACTCTTTAAACACAATTTGTTGAAGGGAAAAGCATTTGGAGGCTTTTCAGTTTGTCATTCATGTCATGTAGTACAACAATAAAATAGATAGAAGAGGGATCTTAAACAATGCCATTAAAGCAAATGAAATAACACTAGAGCTTGGTTTTTAAATTGAAGGTTTCAAAGACACAGCATTAAATTTGCTGTCAAACACCAGAAAATTATATTTTGTTCTTGGTTTGTAGGCTGCACTTGATACAGGGCAAAGGTGACCCTTAAAATCTGAGACAACCAGGGCATTTAACCATCAAGCAAACTCATAATCACTAATGTGGTCAGTAATTTAGGTTTACAAACTAAATATGGAGTTATGGGGACCATCAAGGCCAGTTTAAGTACCATTTTTATTAGATTTTTATTTACTAACTGACTTTAACAACTTTCATAATAATTTCAGCACAAAATCACAATGTACAAATAAAAATATTTAGCCCTCACAACTTATGCCTCTAAAAAAATCCGCTACTGACTGTTGTTGCTATTATTTTGAAATATAACCGGAAGCGGAAATAATGAATGGAGACGACGTCCGGTCCGACACTGGCAAAGTTTCGTAAATAATAAATAAAGACATTACAGATACCAGCAAGYAACATAATCTGCCGGTTGTAATTATTCCCAAGTCTTCTAATTACTTCGGTAACAAAAGCAAGTTCGTGAAACTAAATGAAAATAAATATGAAAGTACATTGCTAAGGGCGGTAGAAAAGTAAGCTAATATTGAAGAAACGCCTAAGCAACGATCATCCAATTAGTTGGTGCCGAACAATAACATCCCTTTTGTTCTTGTCCAATCAGATGGTGCCATACGGTGACGCTCCTTTTTTTCTTTTTGCTTGTCCAGTCAGGTGTGTCCCCTTCAAAAAGTCCGTCAAATCACGCGTGTCGCTTTAGAATCGCCTTTTGTTGGGACACGCCCACTCATCCGCAGAGACCTCTACTTGGGCCAATGCCCCAAGGGCCCCGCCCCTAAAAAGGTGGTTCCAGAAGTTTCTTGTCAGCCTGCTTTATAGTTTTGATGTGTAATAGTGATTACTGTCCCATTCAAGCTGTTGATTTGAGGTAGAATTTGCCGTTTGTCCATCTACTTTTTGCAATGCACCAGCCCTGTAGCATCATGCTACCACCACCGTTCTTAGGGCATTTGTGCAGGGTTGCAAGGAAAGCCTTGTTGTGATCGTATACATCGGGTAAAATAAGKATTGAACACGTCACCATTTTTCTCAGTAAATATATTACTAGAGGTGCTAATGACATGAAATTTTCACCAGATGTTGGTAACAACCCAAGTGATCCATACATACAAAGAAATCAAACCATAAATGTCCAGGAGGACAACAGAGCTGCTTCATGGAAGAAGAACCTCAGCTTAGCTTGTTAGTTTTAGCGTTAGCGCAGACGCTATATTGCCTATTAGCTCGGTGCTAGCGTGATAAACAAGCTAAACTGAGGTCCTCCATCCATATTTTCAGTTCCAGGCTGAGTCATTT